GCCTTCGTAATGGAGCAGATATTAAGAAGTCTTTTGAACTCACATCTCGTGGATCAAGGCCCTTCCTGACAGTTTCACCAGCAGCACGGATTTCACGAACGGTTAACCACATTCTAAGCTCACGCTCGCTAATTTTGAAATCATTGCAGAGTTGTGAGATCTCCTTGGCGTTCATGGACTGGAATAACCCTCATTTTTTCTCAGACTAAAAAAATAGATTCGAATTACAGCTATAGTGGATCCGTCACCGTTCGGGTTAAACTGGATGTTGCCGAGAAGCAAAATGCACTTCAGTACACGGAAGATGTCTCTTTGTTTCTCCTGATTGAAGCCAAGCACATCCAATGCCTGAAAAATTTGGAAAATAAATTAGTGACTTTAAGAATGCTATATCTACCTTGAGAGCTTCAAGAAACTCCTGACGATCGTCCACTGTGGGAATTTTGCTGTCACCGCCCTGCGCAGTGTACCAATATGATTCGCTGCTTCCTGAATAATTTTATGAACATAAAGGCACCCAGACAATTTTGATTTTTACGAGATTTGGATTTATTTGGATTCTTTTGTGGATACTGAATGAGAGGTGTCATTTAAGGCAACCTTATAGGACCATTCATCGACGAGAAATAACTCTAAACTATAGCCCACACCTTTCTGGGCAGAATAAGCGATTTCGAGTATGCCAACGGGTAAGGTCTGGGTGAAAGTCTGGAGGGGTATTTTTCGATTACGGAACCAGGAACTGTGACTTATTTGAGATCTCCGAATAAGAATTTGAATAAGATGAACATGTATACTTTTTCCTGTATACCGAGTCCTAAATGAACACACCTAAATCTAGGTCCCTTATCACCGGATGGTCCCTTGCCGCACAAAGCTGATAGAAAATATGGTAATTGCGTTCGTTTGGAGCCTAAATGGGTAAGAACTTTTCAACACTTTATTCTTTAACAGAGAATTGCAGGCAAAACGTAAATTTTGGAAGAGATAAGCAAAATTCACAAACCTGAAAAACAAGTCTGCTTTTTTCGAGCAAATAGGTTTTCATTTCTGCGCCGCTAATAGCGAA